TCTGTGCAGATGTGCATTACAGGACTTGTATGTAGGACGCTTCTCAAACCTTCATGCCTGGAAGAGTGTGGCGTGGGCGACTGCCTGTAGGCGAGGTGTGTGTGTGTGTGTGCGTGTGTGTGTGTGTGTAGGCAGTGTTGTTGTTTCTGTCGTGTAATAATGTCAACCTCCTTCTGCCTAAAAATGTGCTTCTCCATGGTAACCAAATCACAGACAAGCCAGTGAGGGAAAGGGCTACAAAGCAGTGTGTGTGTGTGTGTGTGTGTGTGTGTGTGTGTGTGTGTGTGTGTGTGTGTAGTGCTAAAAGGCAATAACAACAAAAATTAAAAAGATAAAATTGTCACCTGACAGATAACCTGACTGCAGCTTTGGCAGGATTCAAAAGAACGTGAACATGGTCTCATCTCTCCTGTTCATTTCTTCTGTTTCTTTCCTCTTTTAACCTTTAGTTCGGCTTTCCATCACATTTGTTTTATCCTTTCTTTCTTTTGCCTCCTTATTTACAACACTCATGTTTCTCTTTTTCTATTTCTTTCCTTGCTATTCATTGAATTTGATCTCTTTCCCATTCTAACCTTTCTTGGCTTCATTGGTTCTGCTCTTTTTATTTCCATTTTTATTCCCTTTTCCTGGTTTCCTTGTTCTTAGTTTTTATCCTCCCCTTTCATATTTCCTTTTCTTGATGTGTATCCCAATTTTTTCCTTATTTTCTTTCTACAAATGTCTTTTGTATTTTACCCTTCATACCTCCACCCAGCCCTCTGTTTTCCTTCCCTCTCTTCTCAAAGCTTTGACTTCTGTTTCCTCTTTCCTATTATTCCTCAGCCCTTCTCTCCTCTCATTGGTTTCTCCCCTCATTCCTCTTTCTCCCCTCTTCTTTTGCATTTTTCTTTTCCTTTCAAATTTCCATTCCTTATTTCTTATCAATAAATCTTTCTTCCCTCCTCCACCTTTCTCGTCTTTCCTCTCTGTTGGTTTAATTTCCCCTCTTTCCCTTTCTCTTGGCTTTTCTCTTTCCATGTTCTTTCTTTTCTTTCTAATCTCTCCTCACTTTCTCGCCTGGCTGACACACCTGGCTGACTTGACAAATGAAGACACGGCACACCTGTCACTCTTATGTCTCTAATTCTCCACCCCCACCCTCTTCTTTTCCCACCCCCGGCGTCTGGGACGCCCATCTGCTGACAAAACGGGAAAGGCGTGCATCGCTGCAGCAGCTTGGCCGGCGGCGGCGGCGGCAGCAGCATTTGACGAGAACAGCATTCATTTAGGCCTGAACTGCGCGAACATCAGCTTTCCTTAAATGGGCAGAATAGATGGGAGCCTTGGGGATGGCAGATCAGTGGGGAGATGCAGTGGGCTTTCAGTGTGCGCAGCGACCCCGCCTTCAACACAAACACATGCCTCGACAGGATGACATACGAGGCGGTGCTGAGTGTAAACTGCCATCATTCACGGGGAATGGTAAATCGTGAATGGTGAGAAGAACGATGACCGGCGAAGACATAATGCTCCATTTCCACTAATAAGGCTGTAGATCAAGTCTGTAAGCAGGCCAGACCCACTCTGTGGTGAGGAAGACTGAAGGAAAAAGCAAAGGTGGCGTGGCTGTAAATCCACACCAGTTTTCCACTTCCGATCTTGAAATGCCTTTCTCACCACGCTCTACATCACCACGCTAAAAAGAGCTTTTAAAACCACATAAGATTAAGCAAAATTACACAATGTGGTCACGTTTCCTCTCACGCATGTTTGGGAAAAAAACCCAACATACATTTCTCACCAGTTTAACAACATTTTAAATGAAAAAGATGAAAGTGTTTTGTGCACTAAACGCAGCAGTGTCTGTGGACAAAGTGCATTTTTTAATTGCATTAGAGAAGACAGTGATGCAAACCAGTAGTGTAACAACGGGAATATTTTCTATGGCTGACATTGTTATTGGAGTGACCAAAAAACCTTGCATGTGCTCACCAAGCATTCCTGTTGTCCTCATTTCCAGTGCATATGTTTATTCTTCTACCGCACTAGCTTTGCTTGATTTACAGTTAAGAACAATCCTTGTTTGTCTCATACTTGGCCTCGGTGCAGCCCTTCAATTCCAGTTTAAGGCAACTTTCTACTGATTGGTTGGATCTTGCAAACTAAAGACCAGCGGGTTCCTGTGCTCACAGCCACAGCTGAACTAATGTTCTGCATTTGTAATCAGCTTATATACAACTTTGTTTAAGTAAAGGGAAAGATTATGGGTACGTAGCCAACACAGAAGTCCTTGTGTGCCTTCCTTGAAAAAACCCCCATCAACACAGAGCCTGACATTAATGGCGATGATGCTCTACGTATGTAAGAGAGGGGGGGAAATCAACAAAACAACATAAGAACCAAAAATCCTCCAAAAAGCCCACCGGAAGCACAGGTAATGGCTGCAGTTGGCAGTTGGTTTCACTTCACTTCACAAGTTCTTTGTGTGCATTTATTTTGTCTTCTCCACAGCACAGGCTAAGTTAGAGGTCCACCAACAACACAACTACAACATGTACACAATGGATCTACAAAGTTCTGCACAGCATTAATACACAACCCCACCGGTCCCTTCAGACGACCATATAAGGAGACCTGCTATCGCTGATGTCACACATCCAGAAGAGTAGAAAAAAACTTTTTCATGTTGGAGCCATTCTGAGATCTTAATTAAGCAAACATAGAGGAGAGAGAGATTTGGATTTCACATTTTGGATATGAAATGTAGCAAAATGTTTACTTTTTTCTGGCTCCTGTCAGTCGTTTATCTGATTTTCACATCATTCTTCTGATTAAACTCTGTTTGATCTGCTATTTTTCTCACAGTAAAGTCCAGCAAAGTTAACTCGATTTCTCTGTTGGTTGAAGATCTTATATCTCTGTGCTTGATTTATGAGGAGCGACCTCACTGCGTGAAACCCAACCATGTTTAATAGGAGCAGAAAATAGGAAAAGAACAAGAGGTCCTCTTTTAACCCTGAGGTTTGTTTAAAATCTGACTGCTTGCTGATTGCTCTTGTTTCTTGCCCAGTTGGACTCTTTGAACTCAGCAGTAGAAGCAGCCACACAAAGTGTGTCCAAGAAACTCTTTGAATTGTTTACGTGGGCCTTCACTTTCCAGCGAGGATGATAATAATAGGAGCTGAAACAAATCACTTTAAGCATTAAAGGCGCGTTTTCAGATTGTTGACACTGACGTATCCAGTCAAGGAAGTCATTAGAGCTGCACAGTGTGCATGATGGACATAGCCATCAGCTTTCAAATCCAGGATGTGTGTCAAACCTTCCTGCCTGATAAACTGTTTTATATCTAAAAAAAGGGTGTACAGATTTGTGTCGGTGTATCAGCAGGAAAAGAGAAAAGGCATAAACTGAGACAATTAAAGCAGGGAGAAAGCGCGCGTGTTACACAGGCTGCAGATTGAGTCGTGTATGAGAGGAGAGGAGTGAAGTGTGCAGAGAGAGCAGCAGGTTAGTCGCCTATACTGAGAAACATGATGGAGATTATGCAGTGCTTCCGCCCTTCTGGTAAAAAGCAGTGTGAGCACGACGCACTGAGAGACAAAGATTTAGCACTGGTAGTATCGGTGTGTAGGAGTTTGAATGTGTTAATAGTAGCTCGCAGGTCACGAACTCACTGAATGCTTACAAATATGTACGCACACAACAGCTGCAACCAGATCAGAGAAAAACGAACAATGAAGAGTGCATATAATAGTTTGGAAAAGCCTTAACGTGGCTCGAAATGCATTTTTCATTGGCACTGGAAGATGTCAGGTGTCTGTGTTAGGAGCCTGTCTGTTCTCCACTGGGAGGCAGTGCGCCTCTACAAAGCAGACAGATTGTCAGCAGTTAGTTCAGTTTCTGGAAGCCATCTGGAGCTGACATTAAACACACACAAACAAACACTCAGCCATTAACAAGCTATAGCACCAGCAAAAGCAGGGCAGCTTCAAAGAGAGGGCCATGAAACACACACCAGCTTCTTATCACACTGCAGAGCTCGCTGTGGTTTCCGTATCAACCTGGGGACTGTTTAAAACTAAGTCATCCTGCCTTTTTATTTCAAGTTTCAGACTATAATAATCATAGGTATCGTGTATCATGTCCTGCAGACAGATGGCTGTTTCTGCTGCACGTCTACAGCCCAGAGGTGCTCGAGAAGACTGGCCATTTTTAAGCGCCATAAGATTTATGATTTATAGTCCTATTTCCACAGCTGTTGGGGTCACCTCTCTTGATTTCTATTCAGGCTTTAAACTGTAAAACAATGAATCCTCTTCAGTTCTATATGAGGAAGGTGCAACATCAAACTGCAACTGAAACTCACTGGCTTTGACTTTCTGAATTTCTCGGCAGTAACAACACTTTGGCAGCAGTTTGCAGTGACCAAGCATTAACAGGAAGTGGTAAGAGGACAAACTGGAACATACACATACATATAAATATATAAATATACCTGGGCCCTTCCCGTCTCCCCATGGCAAGGCTGGTCTGGTCTCAAACACACAGGCAGGGAAAGCATGCACAGGCATGAGTGTGCATTCATTATGCAGATAAAAGGTCTTTCTCGCATTCTTATATGCATGCCAGTTGAAATGCCAATCTCCCAGACCCCCTTTTTGTTTTATCTAAATATTTATTCCTCCCCTTCACAGCACAGCCATGCCTACAGCCATAGGAAGAGGGGTCAGGATGGCTCAGGATGGCTCAGGATGGCTCAGACGCCCCTGCAGACAGCCTATGTCATGGCTCATGCTCGCTCTGCCTGTCAGTTACTTTTCAGGGTCTGCGTTCATTCTCAGAATTAGAGTGCTAATACGGGGTCACCAGCCAGCTCCTCTAGGAACTCTTAAAACCGATGGCGGGTCTGAAATCCTCTTCTGAAACTGCGAATGAGCACAGACCCGTGTGTGGGAGGAGGGGACAATAGTTGTGACCCATGCAGCAAAATCCATGGATTGTCCAGCAAGTCTTACCCTGTCCTTCACTATGAGACACTTTGCAGGGGGAGGAGACAGACAATGGAAACAGAGTTAGTCAGGATTTATACGGAGAGAGTAACCGCTGAGGAGACAACAGTTCCAGGTGTCTCCACCCTGGATGGTACAGTAAAGGCTCAGAGAAATAACCAAACTATATGAACTTTCAGAGACTCCCTTTGTTCAGTTAAGTCAGTAATCCACAAGCGGATTTGTGCAAATACTGGCTACGTTCCAACCCAATAGCTTGCTCTCTTGCATCTGATACTGCTGTTTTCTTGTTTTTTAAATGACAGATGACACCAATGTGTAAGAAACTGAACTTATTTGGTTTTGCATCATATTTCCAGGATAGAAATCAGCTCCAGATCTAAACGCAGCCAGCATTTCCTTCCTTTACCTTCGAGTAGTACAGACGTCACGTTCACAGCACATAGAGAAAGCAGAAAAAAACAAAAGAAAAAAGGATGCTAACCACTTTGTCCTCCTTTGTGGCATGCAGTCCAGGTAGCAGGGAGAATCAAGAAAAGTGAGGAAGGGGTGGGTCGGAGTAGGAAAGGAGAGAAATAAATGATAAAATGAACGGAGAAGTAGAGGAGGTGAAGTTGGGACGTGGAAGAGCGGACAGATTGTGAGAAGAGAAGGGCAAATGCATGAGGAGAAAAAGGAGAAAGAGGATGTGGTGCAAACATCTGTTAGTTACATTCTGCAGAGTTATTTCACATACTTCATAATCAGAGTCTGAGGGCAGCGGAGACAACAGCACGCACATGTATGTGATTGCTGACACGTTAGGCTGCGGCGGCATGCAACGTGCTTGCTCGTGACCTGCGACAGGATCAGGATGTGCCATGCCTCCTACACTAAAAGCAACACAGAGAACTGTTTTGGTTTTTTGGACACGTCTTCCCTTTTAACCCATTTTCTGGATTTATGCACTGCAAACAATCTCAGGTCCTTTAAATCCAAAATATTTTGCTCATTAAACTAATAGAGTAAGCGCCCAGCGTCACGTAGAGGCTAAGCTTTGTGGTTTGTGTGTCGCTGTGATGCCTTCTGCAGGGCACAGGGCAGCACTACACAGCTCTTTCAATCAGAATTAATTAATTATTACACTAAGCTGCTTATGAACAAGTAAACGTTTGTTTCCTGATAATTTCTCCCTAATTATTTTGTTTTTATAGTTTTGCAGAGCCCCTGTATGGCTGAGAATGGATCCTTGTCCTTTTGTCAAAAGAGTCTCTAGCTTTGAGGCTGTGAAATTATGTCCAGGAAAGTGCAACATACTGATGTCGTGTACAGCGTGATATTTTACCCAGACAGTTTTTGTAGTACAGTTTTAAAATTATCCCCCAGAAAACAGGTTTTTGATATTTACTTCATGTTGACTTTAAAATGGTTTATGGAGTATTTTTACGGCAATGTTCTAAAATTACATTTAGTACTCATCTTTGTACTGTGGTATTTTTTTAATGACAAAAAGCCGGTTTCTAGCCAGCTCACTTTTAAAGTGTATGTAGTGCATTCATTAAAATGCACGTGATGAAGTGCATACAGTATATTTATAGAGCACTAAATGTAATTTTGAGGTACAAACTTCTGCCTGGAGGAAAACAAAGTGTTCTGCTCATGTGGAGTAAATGAGCAGTCTGTAGGCAGGAGAAAATTTTATGTGATGCAACAAATCTCACACTTTCCTAATGCTGTTATTTTGCATGACTGGACAAACGGGCCGGGACAGAGGCAAGCACTGCCGAGACCATGAGAGCGTCACTTCTGACACATCACTCCCACATAACACACACACACACACGCTCGCTAATGCACATACACAAATAGAGAGAAGAAGTGGAGCACGACTTGCATGTTGCGTATTCCTTGTAAGGACTTATTAATGAAATTGTCTTGTGAATGCAGAAACTTTTAGTTTAAAATAAATAGAAAACTAATCTTAGAAAGAATCTTGAAAAATGGCGTATCAGCTTTAGGAGAGACGGACCAGAAAAATAAAGGGGAAAAATTATGTTCTAAAAATATCTATTAATGAACTGTAAATGAGCAGATTTTGTGTTTGATGTCTTCTAACCCCAGTTAATTAGGCAGGTTTATAGATTGATTCATTATGTAAAAGTATCACAAATACAGAAACAAACAAATGAACAAAAATCTCCAGCAAGAAGATCAAAGCAGTAAAGACATGAAGTTACACCTAAAATAATATTTAAAAGATTTTGCACCTTGAAATTTCACTTGTAAAATTTCTATTAAATTAAATGTATAACCATGAAGTTCTTCGAGAAGACCACATTGTCTGGTTTTATATGAAGTCCAAATAAGTTCGTATTTGTTGTATTTATAAATGATACTAGCCTCCTCTCTTTACTTCCGTGAAGCAGTGTGCCTGCTGTTAGAGTAATATTAATGGCTGTACCAGCAGGGATACTATCTTTAGCCCCTTTTTTGACTGGCCTTTTGAGTTCTACATACGTGTGGTGCCAGTGGGAGTCCAGGCCCAGCTGGGATGGGCGGATACTGAACAGATTGGGAACCAGCAGGCCAAGGGTGGAGGGCTCATGGTCAGGTAAGATAACCAGAAGGTGGGCCTCTCTCTTGGGTTGGAGGAGAGCCCAGAGAAAGCTTGGATGGAAGAGGGGCCGGGTCTTAAAATAGCACAAACATGCTTAGTTTATGGCTGGAAGGCACACTGATTCAACATGAATCCCATGAATGGAGATAACGTGGTGATACAGTCTGTGTCTTTAATTATAATAAGCTGCTTTTTAGCTTGTAGCCCAGGCTTGGTGCAGGTCAGTGCATTTAGTGCATTGCTGGCTTTAGTTTGGCATTTTATTTCTTTTTTAGACAAACGATATTACCCAGACAAGCTGTTTATCAGTTGACTCTTCACGTGGCACCACCAGAACCAGGGCACAAAGATATATATATATATCTTTATATCTTTGGTACTGACATGCACGACTACACAGACTAAATTTTATCTTAAAAATTTATACTTTAGCCTAGAATTTAGTGTGATTGTGCCCAACATTTTGCTTTACTGTTGGTTTCACTCAATACTTGCAAACCTAATATTCCCATCGGCTCCTGTTTTGGAAGATTGGCTTGGCACCTATGTCTCGTGCCAAGCCAATCTTCCAATACACTTTGTTCTCACCAAAGTGTGACAAGGAAACAAAAAAAGCAGACGTGACAAACACACAGAAGCAGAAGGAGCGATCGTGTATCGTATACAGCAGGAATGAGGTGAGTACGAGAGGACGAAGGAAAACATTCAGAGGCTTCTCACATTATTGGAGCGCAGAGAGACCCGCCCTCCACAGCGAGCGCAGAATTTGATCTGGCAGTAGGAGCAGAGGTGGCCGCAGCCATCTGCAAACTTAGTCTTGCGGCAGATGCCGCAGGTGGGCGCGTCGTCCTTCTGCTGGGTCTGCTGGCGCCGCGTCTCGGCCCCGATGCGACGCACTTCCTGTTTGTAGCTCTCAAACTGCTTGTGCAGTGTTCTGAAAGGAGAGAAGACAGAAGTGGAAGATTGCCCATTAGTGGTACATCATGAACTTTAGTTTGTTAAACTTCTTAACTCACCAGCTCTCTTCACAGAGCTCTCGATGTCTAATTATCCATACACCAAACCAGAAGATGTTGAAGGATGTCTGAATAACTGAATAATTCTTAGAATAAATAAATCGTTCAGAAAAAGAAAGTGATGTTTCAGTTAAAGGAAAATAAGTGGCAATTAGAGCTCCACTTGAAAGGTCCCTTTAAGAAAAAAAAAAAATCATACACCCAATTAAGTGAAACTTCAGCTCAGTTTTGCGCTCTGTGGCTCACAGACTTCCTCCCTCCCTGCTTCCCAGGATGCCAGTGATGGAAATAACCCGAGTGTGAATTGCAAATCAGGCCATGTGAAAACACCCACAATGTTGTCTCCACAGAAGTGTCAAAGGAATACTGAATTAGCATAGCATGGCTCGCATATATGGGACCCAGACAGGGACTTTAATTACCTCGCTTAGTAAGAGATTTAAGACAGGAAGGAGATGGCTTCATTCACACATTTGCAGCCAATTTGTGTAACCAAACAAACTTTATTCAGGGCTCTCGCAACACACCGACGTTTTAGCTGAGCTATTTGTCAAAAACTGTGAAATTCACACTTCTGCACACTTGACAAAGTTGAAAATGACAAATGAATGAAACCCACAAATAAAGCGGGATAAGTGGAAAACCTGCTGGTCATCAGGGCGCTGAGCGCTCCCCACTGATTTGTGTTTTCCACACAGGCATTACTTGGACAGCCCACTCAGCCACAACTTTAAGAGAAAAACATCAATAATTTCAATAATCTGACAGTTTAGTCCATGCTAACCAGCAAGCCCCGCCCCTGCTCATCTTCTGTTTTCCCATTGGCTGGGTCACAGGGCAAACTGCTGTTGTGGTGGTTTCGATATCATTCAGCTGGGTCTCCAGACAGCTTCTTATCCTGTGGTACAAAACTTCAACTGTAACCAAAGTATGTGTGGGAAACAGTGCTGAGGTAACAGAGCTGTGAGCTTAGAAACAGCACCCAGATCTCGAGGTAACTTAATAATAAATACATTTAAAAGACCTTCAAATACACTTAGTGTAGACTGGTTACCTGGGTCTATTGTAAGCAGACATCGCTTTCTGTATGTCAGCTGCTGGGCAGGAAACGGGTTGAAAACATAACACCTGATCTGTTGTCAACAGCTTTTCATGGTACAAATAATCAAAGAGATAACTATCCTCCAGCATGACCCAATCAAAGTCCAAGAATGTTGCTGTGCCTCAACACGATTCTTCTTTCTCTAAAAAGGTCTGTGTCAGTCTTAAGTAAAAGGCACTATATCCGGATGAAATGGTAAACAATTTCAGAAAAATTTCTAGTCGTCCTCAAATAAAGAAAAACAGAATGTCGAATAGAAACTGTCAAAGCCGCGGCCGTGATTTTCTTCACTGAAGACTTTCTGCTTGTCTGTGGCTCACAGTGCTGCTGCAGCAGACTGCCACCATGCACAGTTGGAGCGGGGAGGAGTCCGGCGGTCTGGGACACATCTCGGCCAATCAGCTCACACGAGAAATGGCTGAAACAGGCACAGGAGGGCTGAATGAAATCTGCTTTTATTCATTAATGTTGAGGTTAGATGACAAATCAATTGGTTAAATTATTCGTTAGATAATCATTTAGGTATGTTATGTTTAATCTGAAATTATAAATCCTATAAAAGAATATAAAATTAGCCTCTAAGTTAAGGGCTCAGCTCTTAATAAGTTACTTTATTTTCTCAGAGTGCATGATGACAATGATCCTGAGCTCTTAATCCATCACCATTATTGGCTGTGTGTGACTGAGGAAAACAGGATGAAGCCTTGAAGGTTCAATAGATAATGAGAGGAGGACGGATACAAACATCACATGCTTCCAATAGAAAGTGTCTGCGCATGTCTGCAAAAATACTCATATGCTCATGTATTTTACTTAAAAATGCTTCAATTTAAGCTTTAATTTATGGTTGAATGGACATTTTCCAAAATTAAACCCTAAGCTGTATTTCAGATGAAAAACCAACATGACTATTCCACGGCAGCAAAGTCATAAACATGACCCCTGACCCCAAGAAGCTATCCATCCTGCCGACGTGAGTCCAGGGGCTGAGCAAAGCATGGGCGCAATGGGAACAGCTGTCAGAAACAGAGGGTACGCAGCAGGTTGTCATGGTAACGCAGCAGCATCAAGCGCTGGGTGTCAGCGGGTGTCGGTGCCCCAGCCGTTCTGTTCTTAGAGATACAGTTTCATCAGCCTTTTTCTATCGTTTCCACACATTCAGCAGACGTGCACCGTTAAAGATGCACGACGCGGCTCATGATATATAAATAAATCTGTGCTCTCAGCCTAAATCATGAGCTCAGCTGAGGAGGCTCTCGTCCCCCTTGTCTCCAAGTTTATCCACATCAGTGACCGTTTTCTGATTGCACGTGCTACTATTAGCTAACAAACTGCAACTATTGTGGATTTTAATCTGAATTAATGAATGGGGACCTACTCTGCTCAGCTCCATATATTTACCTTTAGACTCTATTAAAGTAGCTTTGCATGATTTATATAGGAAATAATCTTTATGTATTTTATATTCGGGCTTGGTTTATCTGGTTGAACAAGCTGTTGAAGTTCCCCTTCATTTCAATCCAGATGTTTTCTGATTGGCTGCCTCTTACAAACAGAAGGTTTGAGCAGAAGGTGGGTGGCGCTTCTTTGTGCCTGAGATGACTATGTTAGGGACATCCCATCTCTGTGACCTCCCGCGGTAAAACACATTCCAGCCATGTATTCCAGCCCTAACCTTAACCAGCACTTTAATGACATGAAATAGTGTTTTCCAAAGCAATTTGAGGAAAATGAACAAACATGTGTGGATTGATTCCAAATGGTTCTCATGTTCCCTCATTTTTCCGATCTGGTCATTTAGGAACGTGCTGGGTGCCCGGAAGCGTAACATGTTGACGATTTGTCACCTAGCTTAAAATATTACACCTCGGGAGTGAGAACGTGCTGCCTGGGGTCAAGGTCGGATCCATCTCTTTGTCTCAATAAACAAAAACAGCCACACTGGATGATGCTGAAAACTCTCGGCTTGGAACTACGCTAACCAATGGGTGACATCATAGTGACATCTTTTATATACAGTCTGTGTTCGTGAGTGTGTGTTGCCAGATCCATCTCCCCTGACTCACACACTTTCCACCAATGCATAAGCTTAACCTTGACTTAGCTTCAGATACATGAGTCACCCTAACCACACCGATAAAAACATAATCACTACCGAAAGACACAGGAAGAGACGTCCTCTCAGGTGAGGACATGCTCTTTGTGTTCACTCTGCTGTGTGTTCATTGATTACATGCCTGTGCCTGCTGCGTACCCGGGGGTCAGCCACCATGGCTGGGAACACAGGTTGTGAAGGAGAACCAAAGTATTTCAGAGGAGCTTTCAGAGTCACTTTTCCACTGGTAACAAAAATGATTTGTAATATTTGGATTCTTCCTAAATTTCTCTGCTGCACCAACTTTAACAGCTGCTGAATGTAGGACATCATTGCACACTTAACTTCAGTTACCCAAACTCTCTTTCAATAACCAATATATTAATAAAGATCACACACTGTTGTTCTGGGATATCAGACTTTTTTTTGTGAGAAAACGATGATAAATTTGAGCTTTGATTGTTGGTCTTGACTCACGGTAAGTGTGGCTATCTTAACTTAGCTTACCTTTGGTCCGCACAACACTTACCATTGCAGTAGGTGAGTCCAGCTTTGGCCCAAATGACCATCAACCAGAAGAGAACCAGTCTCAATACCACTTCTTTTTGGCTTCTTTTTAGCTTTGTTTTTGACTCCGTGTGTTCTGCTGCTGTTTCAGAAAGGTTAGATATTAAGTCATGTGGTTATCACTAGAACTACACGATTATAGGGTTAACTTTGATCTTAGCTGTTAAGAGAAATGCTACTGAGACCAAAGCAGAGGTAAAAGGGAGAGCGAATATTAAAAATACAAGACTGCTTGGACACAAGCACAGTGCGGCTCGATGAAGGACATACGTTTTCACCTAATAAGACAAATCATGGCTACTGAGAAAAAAGCTCCATGACTCAATAAGAACTCTTCAACAGTACCAACTGCTGGTCACATTTCTTAGCATTTAACAAATAATGTTGCAACACCACCTCAGAAAAATTACAGGAGCTCTCGAAATCATCGCTCGAGAAAAATCCGTCAGAAGGAATAAAGAGAGCAATGGTCACCTTCTGCAAAACCATCCCCTTGTTTTGGGGGTGTCTCAATGTTGCCTGTTTGGTGCACCTGTTGTCGCTTTCATTTGCAACAAAAGCAGGGTGCAATTGATTCACACATTGATACATCATGGCTTGACAGGCCGATATCCCTAAAGACCAACAGATACTGTGTATTGTATACACTACATTTTTAAGCAGTGTATAAGTTATATTCATTTCAACCCATTCATCTCCAAAAAGGGTGAAACTCTCCATGAATGTCCCAGCTGTAACCGAAGCCTGAAAAACCACAGTTGTAACAGGCCAGGTGTCAGTAGTACTAAGAACTGCAGCTATGCATCACCTCCAATGGGATGTGAAAGGGAAGTGACAAACAAGCAACTAAAAACTGTTAACAATGATAAAGAAAGTTAGTCTTTCTCACAGGATACTTTTGTCTGATAACCATACAAGGCCAGGCAACATTCTTATCAGTGGTCACCGTAAAACACAACTAAAACCATCTGCTAAAAACATTCGAAATAAGAGTTTAGCTATACCTTTGCCTGCAAAATTGATAGGTTTACCACCTGAAGTAGCTCTGGGTCTCAACACATGTCAAAGACAAAGGACAAGCATCTCTAAATGATCACCTTCAGAAAAATCCTTCACCATGACTCAATCTCCTGAAGAGAACTGGTACATGCTTC